CACTATGAATTTGCTGCAATTGAAAGAATTTGGGCAAATGTAAGATATGAAATGTGTGTTAGTTTTGTATAATCCCAGTTTTAAGTGTTTCTTCCTGCATGACTTAACGCTGCATTGTATAGGTGAGAGTTTCATTGGAAATAGTTTAAAAGTTAACCCTGTTCATCCTCATTTGAAATGTACGGATACAGTCTAGCCTTGCATATAATCCCTTTCCTTGGCAGATGTCACCGAGCAGCAGAAAGCCACACATACACCCTTTGTAGAGAAACTGCTTCAGCAAAGCACAACCATTGCTGTGCTGGTTCTTTCCCAGGCTCCCAGCTCCTGCTGAGCTCTCCTGAGGGAGCAGAGGTCCCTCTGAGCATGCTGTGTACCTCCATTACTGCTGTAAGAAACATGTCCCCACTGGAGCACTCTGTTTTCAGCTTATTTCTGGAGCTGTCACTGAGCCTGGAGCTGGGAACAGCTCTGTGAAAATGAGAGGAACAATGTGTGCAGGTGGCCAGCTGTACATCCTCCATTTTTAAATACTTTTGAAGGAATATTTTCAAGTATAGGTAATGACCACTGCACTGGGTGTATACATGCTGTTTCATTGCCCTGCACACTGTTTTATAACATTCCAGGTAAACTGCTTTCAGTTGTTTAATTTTATTCACATCATCATTTTTAGGCAAAGCCATCATAGTTGCTCTCCGTCTCGTCTAGTGAAAGTCCATATAAAATGAGTGCATTTTTCAAAGGAGATGCTTCATTTTAGCATAAAATAGTTATGTTTTGGTGTTAAGGGATAATGAATAGATCTCTCCATGCTGCAACTTTGTAATTTGTCTGTACACAGCTGTGTACATATGTATGTGCATTGTATGACTGCAGGTGAGAGACACAGATGTGACCAGGGAAGGCAGCTGCATCTGCTGTCCTCAGTTACACTGATGGTCAGTGTCGAATGTCAGGTGGGGCTGCTCCTTCTGCTTTCCCTTCTTCTGCTCTGAGAAGACCCCAGGTTCCTGTTTCTGTGCAGGGACTGTGCCCCACACACCTTGTCTCAAATGAATGGGTTGTGTGCCAATCCTGCACAATCACTAAAGCAGGACTGAGACCCACAGGGTTGTACTGAGTGGGACCACAAAGATGTCTGGGTGAGAAGGAGGGCACGGAATGTAGCCAACAGTGGTTTGCCTGCAGTTTTCATGAGTTTGGAGCTGGCAGTTTCAACTGCAAAGCAGTGTGGTACTGCAGGCCAGTAGAGTACCAGGCCAGTAGGTGTTCTGGTAGATTCCTTATCCTGTACCTTATTATGCTTAGGTGAGCATGAAACCTCATTGTGCTTTGAGTAGACAAGAGTCAATCTGCTACCGTCAAAGCTAATATTTTGTAATGCAGAATCTGAAAACCAGCATTGGAGATGTTTCTGTTAGTCCCAACAGTGTATCCTGCTGAAAGAAAATGCTGGCAATGAGACTATTCCTCACCTCAGAGCAGACTGTTTTCTGCAACAAGATATCACTACCACTGGTGCACAGACAGCATCCTATGGAAAAATTACATTGTTGGGTTTTTTCCTTCCTATATTTGAGAGATGAATTTGTGAAAGCAGGTCAGACAAAGCTTGGGGCTGTGTGGCTGCTTGTGAGTATGGACTTTGATTTTCTTCCCTGTCCTTGTTACCAGTAAGTCTCAGAGGAAACCACTGCTTAGCAGAATGACTATAACTATTTCATTAACTGTTTGCTTAACTATAACTTTGTGCTTTTTCTGCATCTATAAGTATCTATACAGCATGTATTGTCATATCATCCTACGTTCTTCCTGGAAAGTATATTCAGAAGTCATGGCAATAGTCGCTAAGGGTTTGGAAAGAAAATTTCAGTCCAGGTGTTGAGGTAGAGCTCCTTCAGCAGTTGTAGCAGCCCTTTTTCATACTGAATACCGTGTTCCCCTCTCATGCAGGTATACACACAGAACTGTACCCAAGTACTCACAGACTGACACTCTAGGTGCCACCTTTACCCTTCTCACGGTCTTCCAATCCCTTTTTGGGTGTCCCTGCCTGGATGTTGGCTGTAGCACCAGATGGTGGTGAGTGGAGTGAGTCTTGAGTCCTGCTAGTTGATACCAGAGCCACATACCAATAATACTGTAGCATCTGACAGGGCCTCTTGCTAAAGGTACTTGTTCAGTATGAGCTGAGATATGCTTTGACTCCCCTCAAAATCCCAGCTTGTTTCTGTCAGTTCAGTTTGGCAGGGAGGGAGGAAAATCCCAGCATTGTTTGTTGTTTGGTTGCACCAGAAGAAAGCTCCAAGCCAGAACATAAATACAGTGAGTAGTAGTAGGGATCTGACTGCTCATGGGACTTATCCTCATGGCGCTGTTTGGATTTAGCCATCTGGCTGTGGTCCTGCTTACACCTGTCAGCTGAGGGGGACAGTGCCAAAGCAAGGAGTTTGTGAATGTCCCCTTGGAGCTTTGCCTGGCCAGCTGGCAGCACACATCATCAGCCAAGCCTTCTCTTCCTCCTCCTCCACAGCCTTGGACATGTCATTCAATATATATGGCCATGCCCTCTGCCACAACTGAGGAAAAGGGGTTTCAGCCCCATCAACCCCCCTAATAGAAATGAAGGGTGTCAGTCTTTTTTACACTAGGAAAAAAACCCATAATTTCTTCCTTTATATTTTATTTTATTTTTTCCCTTCCATGGTGATTTCTGCTACGATCTCCATTGGATATCACACCTTAGCAAGATGAAGCTAGCTCATGGCACTGGAATTTTATAACGGAGAGGAGAGAATAGGAAGAGGAGGATCCTACCAAGTAGGATCAGCCCCAACCAGAAAGAGGTTAGAAGCAGATTGAAGTTTGTTTACATTAGAGTATGATGAGGCCTATTAACACAGATGTACTTCTTTCTAGCTTCTTCTGGCAACGCCATGCTCGTATTTGTCATCGAAGTGATGCTGTCATTTTCCAATGCTGTCATTCTCTCATCTCCATGTCAACAAACCTCCTACCAGTTTGGGTGATGGACACATTTTAGGCTCAGATCCTCTGGGGAAGGTGTGATGACCCTCCCTTCAAAACAAGCCAGTCCCCGTCTGCCACTGTGATGCAGCAGTGCTCCTGTCCATCTGCCAGGGGGTCTTTGTGAATGCTGTGTTAATAAGCTCAGTCACATTCGTACTGCCTTTTTTTAAAGCCAACTCTACACCCCTGATGTCTTTAACATTGATAGGGGAATAATATTTTCCCACATGCAAATGGAGAATAGATACCACAAAGTGTCACAAAAAGTAGATTGATTCATTAAGCAATAACTTTAGGCAAAACCTGAACATTTAAAAATTTATAAAGATATATTTTTCCTCTTTTCAGTGTGTAACAACTGTTTATAAAAGATTGTTGCCAATCTTAAACTGCACTGGTGCTTTTATGCTCTGAAGCCTTTTACTTGCTGATGAATTTGATGAATGCATTTACAGTACTTCAGTAACCCTTCTATAACAGCATCATCTTCAAGTTCTTGCAATACGAACCTTCTGGACGAATCTGAATTATCACATGCCACACAGCCCAAGTTGGCTCAATAGCATGCTGCCATAATTATCATTTGTTAAAGAGTCTAAGGGCTGCTAGGAAGATATTATGTGTGAAATGCATGGTGTTTATGACATCCTTCAAACAAACTTAAGACTCCAAGCATAAATTACTAAGCAAAATCAGAAGCAAAGGATGATGAGATGGTCTTATACAGAGTTGGAGATAACCAAAATAGAAGTTCCTTTAGCAGGTAAGACTTTTGCCAACTTGTAATCTTTTGCTTTTACAACCTGTTGCATGGCATTGTTTAACCAATAGCTACATTAAGTAAAGATAACCTGAAATAAATACAGGAATTCATCCAGTTGTCATGGCTTAGCTGAACTCCCTGTGACTTGGTGACCGCTCTTGCCCTTTGCTTACTTTTAATCCAGAATCCATCTGCCTTTCTTTAGTTGCTTCTGCTAAGACTTTTATGTAGTGATTCTGTTGTGAAGAACTTTTTGGTGCTGTCACATTAATGTTTGGACTTTTGGATCAAGTGGACCTTTCTACCAAATTTTTTCAGGTTGCTGTTCCTGTGTGTTTGCTATGGTCATGTTGCATTAGAAAGTCTGTGTGTGTGTGTGCCAGTGCTAAATCCATGGCTCCAGACTGTCTTTACATGATAATAGTCTCATGTTGGAGTCCACACCACAGTATCATGATGTCCATGTGACCTGAAGTGTGTTAGGATCTTCTTACAGACAGGTATGCCGTGATGTGCTCTGTCCAGGTCTTTTCTCCCTTATGAATCACAACAGTTTAAAATGGTGCTGAGGAAAACTGTTGAGCTATATGTATTTTTAAAAGGAGAAGCAGTGCTGAACCAATGTATAACATTCAGTGGAAAGGAGACCAGTATGATCTGTAACACTGCATGTACTGCGGAGCTGAGCAACTTCTTTAGAACTATAAAGGGATTTGAGCATGTGTTTATTTATTAATTATAATTTTTTACTTATATGTGTGCTCTTTGCAGCAAGCCCTGTATTGCAGACCTGATGCCCTGCTTGCTCATGTTGTACAAAATAACATGGGTAAAACATCACTCAGCACATCTAAATGCATGCCTGTATATGTAATCATTGTGCATATAGTCACACATTTGATTTTCTCTTATTTTTTGAATGATACAGTCTATTGGCATGGCTGTGTGCTTTTTACATTAATTTAAACAGGTAAAATCAGATAATGTATATTCTATTGCACATGCTGTGATATCCTTTTATTTTACCATTTTCCTATAGACAAAGATAATGAAAACTGATATTTTGAAATGAAGAATTTAATTATCCAAAAATACCCTTAATGCTGACATGCAGAACTGGTCTAGCAGAAAAAGCATATCTGATCCAAGTCATCATCAATTGCTCTATAATTACAATGACAGTACAAAAATGAAGCAACCTTACCTTAGCTCAGGAGAGTCTTTTTGCTCTATCCCAGGCAGTTTCCTCTCCTTATTCAAGTGAAAAGGGAAAATCCACTTAAATAAAGGAAAATAAATACTAGAAGAGTTAGGGATTTAAGGAGTTCTCATCTGAACTGCTGATCCACTTGTTTTTAGCAAATTGCAAAAAACCTCAACCCAGCAGTAGCTCAGAGGGACTTTCCTCTCCTCATGTGTTCTGTGGGCTGAGAATCTGCAAGAATAAACCTGAGACGGTGCTGCAAGAGAGAGACAGCGGGGGGGACCTTGGCACGGAGTTGGACCAAACTCTAAATATAGCCCAACCCACTTTCTGTGCAATTCTCTTCATACTCTGAAGGCAGATGACCTTGTTGGAAAACTGACCTCCGAGTATGTCCCTTTTCTTAGTAGAGAGGATCTGAGGGAACAGGACTGCAGCATAGAAGGACAGAAAAGCAATCGACCATCTGCATGCAGCAAATGAATGTAGGTATGAGCTCTTATTTTCATGGTAGTTAGAACTGATTGACTCATAATGTGCTTTATTTCTTCATTTAGGCAACTGAGCTGCATGTCAGTTCACAAAAGGCCTGTACAGATGATAGATTGCATTGTAATTTGTTAGTTTTAAATAGAGAGCACTGACATAGATGACAAACCTGATGCCTTTCTTCCTCTCAAAAACCTTAATGTATCAGTGTACAGTATTTCCCTAAAAGCTTCTAACAATTATCCTTCCTTTCACTTGCTCTTATAATAAGCAAGACTTTCTGTAAAAGTGAGTTAAATCCACAAATGCATATTCTAGCACTGTATAAATGTGAGATGCTAGGATAGCCTGAAAGGGCATCTGCAGTATCAGAGACCAAACTGCACAGCAATGTGTAGTATATGCAGAGGAGGAAGCAAAAGAATAAGAGGCACAGAAGCATAACCTTTGTGCCTTAGATGGGGAACTGGTTTTCAACAGATGTTTTATAATCCAGGGAATTTGCCACTCTAACTCTATGTAGCAACATGTCAGGGTATTTTGTTCTTAACCTGAAGGAGAGTTTAACTTGATATGAGTTAACCCGATACTCTGTCAAACGGGGACCTGATACTGCTATGTCATATGAAGGCTTCTAAATAAAAAAAGCTGCAGAAATTGGAGCAGCTCAAAATGTCAACTCTCATGTTCTATGTAAAGATGGGTAAGAGAGTTGGGATGAAAGATTATTTGCAGTATTGTTCTTCAGTGGGATATATTTTTTGGTGGTAACATATATCTGAGTGCATGCTACATTGTATGCATGCATACAATTTTCAGTATTCTGAGAAAACCTGACTGAGAGAACATCAGGACTGTGATAACTGCATACTGTAGATGCAAAATGTCTGCAAAATATCCATGAGCCAAAAAGGCGGGAATGGTACCAGTAGTCAGTAAAGTAGCAATGTGTATCTATGAACAATAATTTGTGCTGTTAAGTTTTTGTGAAGTGTGCTATGTATCTTTTTTAATTGCAGCCTACTATTTTTGGCATGTTCCACTGTGTAATTTTATCGTGATCTATAGATTTGAAGTCCACAGGATCAGCCAGCTCTCTGTGTTACCCTCACAGCAAGAACTACAGCTGTGAGCCACAGCTGCTTCCCAGTATAGAGAATAGTAAAAAATATGAATCCTTGGCAGTATTACAGGAGACATCACATCTGGGCTACATTCCTGGCTAAAACTTGCTCATATCAGACCTAGGCTACAGCCCACCCATTAAGTGATTTTATGGATTTATCCAAGTTCCTCTTTCCTCCCAGTTTACCTCTTTCTTCCCCATTAACAAGAATAAATGTTCTTAGAAGTGAAAATTATAACAAATGAAGGATGCTAGTGTTTGATTTTGAAGGGAGAACTTGAAAAATTAATGAGTCCACCTCCAGATAGATGTATATTGAGTAATATATTGGCACTGGATAAGTAGTGAAATTCTAAATTTATGGGTCACCAACATTATTACATACTGATAGCACTGTGCTGTCTGTGCTCCAGGGTGGTGCTCTCATGAGATCCAGACCAACCCTACCAACTCCAGCTGCACAGTGCCACTGCTGCTTCTGCCCTCCCTCTAAGGCTGGGATATTGAAATCACCACAGATCCCTTCGTTCAGACCATGAAAGAGATGAGGATTAGGGAGGAAATATATACTTCTTCCCAGCATGAGTGGTATACTTTTCACTCTCTTTTTCACTAGCTTTTCACCCTGTGCAGCAAACAGCTGGAGCAGCTTCCATACATGATAGATCTGTAGTTCTTAGAAAAAGAAGGAATCGCAGTGCTTGCTGGGTCCTAAAGCACAGGAATAGTCATACTTTGTCAGGAACTGTGACATGCACTTCTGCCGTGTGAGTATTGTGGAAAAGGGGTGATTTCTTGCTCATACAAGTAATACGCTGGTTGGCTTTGGGCAGGGAGTGTTAATCTTTGGAGAGGCTTGTCTAGAACGATGCTGTTTGTGTGTACAGGGCTGGAAATGGTGCTTGACCAATGCCAGTGATGCAAACATCCTGAAAGAAGGGGGAAAGACTCCTAGAGTGGTTGTATGTGTTGTTAAGATGGATGAAAAAGTGTTTTGTTTGACAGCTGTATACACTCAAGGTTTTTTTAGGGTGACTTTTGCATAATTTTCCTGTCCTCACCACGAAAAAGGAAATGTAGTAAAGAGTCAGGCCCTAGTTTGTGCCTAGCTTTTCCTGGGCTCTTAACTTGTGTTTTCTGTGTGATGGTGGATGGTCTTTCTGCTTCTTCATAGTCAGTTTTTCTCTTTACCTGCCCAGCTTTCTTTGGTAGCATTTTCTCTGGAGTAATTTGGGTCTGGCTTTTGCAGAGCCCAGTCTGTTTGCTCCCTCAGATGGCTCTGTTGGGGTTGAGACTTTTTCAAGCCACACTTGTGGGATTCTCCCTCAATACAATCATGTATTCTGTAACTTGTATTTGTCAACTGGTTTTTCTCTTGATTAACCCCAAATTCCTAGACACTTGTAGTTGTTTAAAGATCCCACAGAGTATTTACAAGGTGAGATTGTGAACCATAATGTCTCTGCCAGTTTCCAATATGCTCAGCCATATCCTGGCTTGCCCTCTTCCTCTGTTTTTCAGAGTTGGGTAGTGCTCTGTTACGAGCATAAACTGTTGCACCGTATTGCTGGCATCCTTTTGAGTGGTTTCTGAACTGACTATATGGTATGTAATGCCTGGCATTTATCAAGAAAAGAAGCTGGTTTTGCAAGGTTAACATTTATAATGTTCATCCGGTAGATTTGTAAACACCCAAACCCCCATGCTACTTACAAACAAACTGAACAGTCTTCCACTTCTCCGTCTCTTTAGAAATATGCTTTTAAACTTAATTTGGAGATATAAGGAGGTCGTGGGAAGTTTCAGCATAAAGGATAGTTTCTGAGAGAACAAAAGAAAAAGAGTAGACTGAAGCGATTTGTGGATGTCATCTCAGCCTTCACTCATGACAACATTGGCAAAGGGTATTAGAGCAAACAACAGAACTGATTGGCACCCTGTGCTGAAGTATTTTTGTGTCTTTAGTCTCTAGTTGCTCGTTTGGCAAGCCCATAATGAAGAAATTAAATTGGATGCCAAACAGTAAAAGGGCCTGTCATATTCCTAACATGTCAGATCTTTGTGTTTGCCTACTATGGGTTTTAAAACTACAGTGACTAAATGGATGTTGAGTTCTCACTGCTTACCTTGGTGATGCTGGTATTCATTGTGTGAGGCAGCAACAGGATGTCAAATTCAATCCTTCCCTTGCAGGTGAAAAAGTTACTTTTATTAGAAGTGGCCTGCTACTTTTTCCTCTGATCAGTCATGTTTTGTGATTTTTCTACCATGTTTCTGTCTTACAGGCAAAATGGAAAAGTCAAATTATGAACAGGGCTAGGTTGTTGCTATACCAAAAGCTGGACCTAACCTCGATCATATAAAGTTTATTCTTTTGTGCTTACATGTGTACAACAGAGAATTTCCTCTGATCTTATTTTCTCATATGCTCTTTTATTTTGTCTTTTAGTTCGTTCCCAGTCAGCAAGTCATGTCAAAACTTAGTTTAGAAGTACCTATTTTGAATATTAAAAGGAAAATGTAAAAAAAAAAGGGGTAGTTGTTATAAATGTGTTGTGGGAGATCCTTTGCATCGCAGATAGTTAAGTCTGTGAGATAAAAAAATTTTATCATATCCGAGCATAGTAAAAATTAACTTGATATTATTCCATTAAGGCCAGTTCTTTTTGCTTGAGTGTGCAGTGATTTTAATTTAAATTGCCCTTCAGTGTAAGGAAGAAGAACCTAAACTGACTATCCTGTCACCAGATTTATCAGGCAAAAAGAATAGTTTGTAGTAGATGTGCCTTTTGAACTGCCCTAGGAAGAAGTTTGCATTTTTAGAAGAATATTGTGTTTGCCTTTGTAGTACAAGATATTGTAAATACTTAGAAATTATTTCAGGGAATTTCTATAGACTATTAACAGGAAATTCTGGCTTGGCACAGGCTTAGGCTGGATGGAGTGTGAAGAAGCTTGTACCATCTGAATGTTACCTAATGGGACAAAGTTGAAGCACTTTTGATTCTTTGATAGAACTGTATCTGTTTCTGCTCAGTTGCTTATTGTGTGTCCTTCAGATGTGCCTCACAAGTGCACTTTAAAATACCTTTTTTCACATACCTTGGCAGGTAAAGTCTGCAGTTCAAGGCATCCTCACAGATATGAAAACTTACTCTTGTGCTGGAACGGGTCTGTTTTGCAGAAGGAGTCCTTTGTTCTTAGAGGTAGAAAGGCAAAACAGTGCCAAGGCTGTAGGGGACTGTGGATGATTTGGGATGATGGAGAGTGGCACCACTTTTAATTACCGTGGAGATTATCTCAGCCCGGACAGAGAGACAACTCTGTTCTCTGTTGCAGTAGGCTGATAAAGTTGAAAAAGGAAAGGGAACTAACTGGTAATAACCTGCAACAGAGCTTTATGCCCAGCTTCTTGCTTCCTAGTAGCAGTAACAGATACCAGTTCATTCACAGCATTCCCTCTTTAGTTCCAAATGGTCAAAATACCCACATATTTTCAGATGCTATGAATGAAGGCACTTCATTTGGTTCATTACACTGGTTTGCAAGCTAAAATGCAAAACTTGCATCAAAGATTTGCACTGAGCTG